TCTCTTTTTTTCTTTTTCTTTTTCTTTTTCTTTTGTAGGTTGTATTAGTTTTTATCTGTTTAACTGTAATGTTTAATGAAATTATTATAAAAAAAATTTAGAAGGCCAAGGAATGCTGATAAGCTAAGAAATGATACTGGGAGCTGAGCAGAGCTCCAAGAAAGCAAAAGCAAGTCCCTTCCTGGAAAGAAATGATCTTCATAGAATACTGCCTCCTTGTTCTTCAATCCCCCCCTGCCCTTGTAGTCCTGCCCCATCAGCTCATAATTGTACCTAGTTGCTTCGCTGACTTCACTAGGCACTTGATGTGTCATATTCAGTCAAATACTTGCCCTTGTCTATACCCAGTCAAATAGCTTGCAGCTGTATCCAATCACCTGTGTACTCTAATTTGCATAACTTTATAAAGAGGGGCTGTAACGCCTTCCCTCTTTAGGCCTATTTTTGTCTCCAGCACTGTCAATAAACCAGTTTGTACTTCAGCATAATTTGTCCTGATCTCCAATTCAAATGTATTCCTGGGAAAATTCTCCTACACTCCCAAGAGCCTGAGCAAATCGTTAGCTTTCTTTCAGTGCACGTATTGCCTTCAGAAGAGGTTAGCCAGGTTTGCTTTTCATCATCACAGGCATGTCTAGTTCCACCGACAAGGTGGACCTCAGTATACTTGCATTTCTATAGGTATTTAATATCATATCCTTGCTCCCCTGACCATGTTGTTTGCCATCCCTTCCCTCTCCCCGCCTGGCCATTTGGTGAGTCATTGCTGTGTGAATGCTGAATGTGATATTGGCTATATCTCAGGATTTGGGGAATCTTCCCACACCTTTACAGCAACTACAAATGCCTTCTCCCACCCCACAGTTATCGCTAAATTCAACTCAATATCAGCTGAAGAGTGTATACACAAACCAAGAAAGACAGTGATGCGGCCTTTCTCTGCTCTCTCCTTGGTAAAGAGGCTTCTTTAGAGGACGGTGGGACGAGGGACTCCTGTCAACCCTCCTGCAAGTTGTGAAATGCCTGCCCCTGCTGGAAATAAAAAGCGCAGAACTATTTGGGTCAGTGTTCCTAAGAGCATTGCTTCGGGGAGAGGCAACTGGACTGTCATGCAGAAATCTGGAAAGATATCAAGGACATTTTTTCCCCATACAAACGCACATTCATGCATGATTTTTTGTGACAATGGTGGAGAGGAGCTCTTAAGTGCAAAGAGATGTGTGAGATGACAAGTGGGTGAGTAGCAGAGCAGAGACAGCAGGAACATATGCAGTAGTAGGCTTAGTCTTTTTTAAAAATAAGACAGGCCTTCATACACAAATATGGGCATCTCTTCATGAGGGCCTTGCAGCTCCAGCCTCATCTGATCACTGGGCTCTGGTGGGTTGGAGACCTGATCTGCTTTCTGTCTGGCTCTGCTGCACTTGATTTGAAATAGGAGCAAGCTAGTGGTTCCTTTCTTCTCACATTCTCTCATGTGTCTATATACTTTTTCCCTGTTACCTTGTCATAGAGCTATTCACCCATCTTTGAACTGGCAGAAAACTATACTGGCATAAAATTTGCTGTCCCCATTGCTAATCTCTATCTGCCTCTACTGTGTCTGTTTAAAGTCACTGTAGTCACCTGACTTCCCTCCTGTTAGAGGTCCAAATTCAATGGTACAGACTTTTTAGCTCCTACCGACCACAAGGAGGCAGTAGGGTGTAGATCAAGAGTTAAGGATTTACTTCGTGTCCCCTGTTTGTCTAAGAGGTTACTAATCTATGTAACTTCCTTCTGCCTTTCTTCCTGGGCACATGCTCTTTGTTGTTGTTGTTGTTATTGTTGTAAACTTTATTGTCATTGTACCTTGTACAAGTACAAGTACAAGACTCCTCTCCTGGTAGGAGGTACCTAGCTAGGTGCTGACCTTTGCTTATCTGTGTCATGCATTACCTGTACAGGTAGTTCTCCCTTAACAATGGTAATTGGGTCTGGAATTTCCATTGTTAAGTGATATGGTTGTAAAGCGTGATGTCATGTGACTGCACCACTTAGCAACAGTAGTTCTCGTACTTCCAGTTGCTGTAGTCAAGCGAATCAGCACCATTGTTAAGCGAGGATGTTACATGGTCTCCATTTGCAACCTCCTGCTGGCTTCCCCATTGACTTAGCTTGTCAGAAGCTGGCAGTGAAGGTTGCAAATGGTGATCATGTGACTGCGGGACGCTACAATGTTGTAATTGTGAGTTGGTTGCCGAGAGCCTGGATCGCAATCATGTGACTGCAGGGACGCTGCAACTGTTGTAAGTACGAGGACTGGTCGTAAGTACCATTTATTCAGTGCCTTCATAAGTTTGCATGGTCACTGAATTAGTGATTGTTAATCGAGGGCCACATGTAAATAAATCCCCTTTCTGTCATAGCTATATTTTATTTATTTATTTATTTATTTATTTATTTATGCAATTTATATGGCTGCTCAACTCACTCACAGTGACTCCGGGCAGCTTACAGAAATAAAAACCCCAAATACAAAACCCACTGCACCCACCCCCACCCCTCTGGCGACAACACATTTACACTAGCCATTTGATGGGCTCCGTATCGACCTGGGATCCCCAGGCTTGCTGGCAAAACCATGTCCTCAGGGCCTTGTGGAAGAGTATCAAGGTGGGGGCCAGTCTTATCTCCATGGGGATGAAGTTCCACAGGGAGGGAGCAACCACAGAGAAGGCCCTTTTTCTCGGTCTCACTAGATGGACCTCCATAATGGAGGGACCCATAACATACCCTGCCTCCCCGATCTGGTGGGTCGGGCAGATGAAACTGGGAAAAGGTGGCCCTTCAAAAACCTGGCCCCAAGCCATGTAGGGCTTTAAAGGTTTATAACTCCTGCTTCACTAATTATTGCTCATGTTAGATTCCCACTGTCTGGAACACTAACAGGCACACAGAGAATGTTTTAACTTCTAAACATTCAAGAGGCAAAGCTCAAATATTTGAAGCCTGCGGCTGCCTTTCAAATATATCTGAATAAAGGGGGAAATATTATATTGGTACTAGTACAGCTAAGGGTGACTTAAGTCTAGTTCCCTCAAGGGCTAGGGACAAGATGAAGGCAACATGATGAATATTCAACAGAAGAAAAGATTTTCGTGCCAGGCATCCATGTTTGAGGCATGGTTCAGTGCAAGTGGGCAAAGGCCCTGCATGCA